TTTTTTTTTTTTTTTTTTTTTTTTAAGAACACTTCCTCTAGTGCTAGTGGTGCTGGTATGAGCAGACACCGCTATCACCTGGGCAGAGACCTATCTATTGGTGGGGAGCGTTAATGTATCTGACCGCATTTTCCACCCGACCTGGATGTACCTGACCGCAATTACGTCCATATATAAGAAAAAAAGTCCTGTGAGTATGCCCTAAGAAGAAGACGCACACAAAAAGTACGGTGGTTTTTCTTTTCACGTGTAAATTTTACGTGGAGGAATATGTTGTGAGTCCCTTCGGCTGCCTGTCAAGAGCCGCTGAACATCCCCATCCATATGGCTGAATGGCACACACGTTAGACACGCATACACACACATGCACACACATGCACACACCGTGTACACTTGCACAGACATGAAAAAAAAGCAAGGATAACAAAGAAAGAGCCGCATATGCATAAGTGAAAGGCAATTTAACAGCAAGGGCAGAATTGCATCACGACACGGCAATTTCACGGTTTTTGTGCGCTTCATGAATGAATGTTTGTTTGCCCTCGAAGATGGCAAGGTCAAACCGTTTGTTTCAATTCTGGATCTATTTATTCATCGGGGTGGAAAAGGAGTTGGCGTATAGCCTTGGGCACTGGGCCCGTTTCAAAAAAAAAAAAGAAAAAAAAAAGAAAAAAAGAAAAAAGAAAAAAAGAAACTCAAGTAAAGCAGTTTGCATCAAATTTGGATATACTCATCTGGGTGGAAAACGGGTTGTTGTGGTGACAATTTACAACACACTTCTTTTTGAGTGTATGGCGAATATGACAACACACATATCCACACATATCCACACATACACAGACATACACACATACACATACACACACATACACACACATACACGCATACACATACACACATACACACATACACACATACACACACACACATTCACAGACAGTCTGCTAGGGTGCAGGGTTGGTGTGAGTAAAGTCGACCACTTTTTTCAGGGGTATTGCTGACTCTGGGCGACGTTGTGAGTCCTTATCCGTCAGTCAAATGCAACCTGGACAGACTCTCTCGGGGTTCAACCGCCCGAGGAGTAGGTGAAAGTCCGACGAAACAGCCTGGCACAGTAATGCTGTGTTTTGTGAAGTTGTGTATAGCGAAGCTTTGGCACAATCATGCTGTGTTTTGTCGAGTTGTGTATAGCGAACATGACAACACACACATACACACACATACACACACATACACACACATACACATACACACACATACACACACATACACACACATACACACACATACACACACATCATCACGTCATCCCACATACACACACATCATCATGCCATCACACACATACACACATCATCACATCATCACACATACACGTGTATATGCACTCATACATGTAACTGTTGATGAAGAAACAGATCATGAGTTCGAATCCCGATGTGATCACGTGGGTACAATAATGCTAGAGGGGCCACGCCCTGGACAAAGAGAAACGAAAAAGCAAGTCGCTGAATAAACGGAAATTGACAACTCCCAATATCACTGCTGGGAGAGGGGGAAGCTCACTATTCATGTCGAGACACAGTGGGCCTTGCTCCAACACTCGTCCAATGTGAAGAAAAAAACGGGGTGTATGCATATATCTTGCCATCTTCTAGCAAAGATACACTTGCCTTTTTTGCACACACTTGACGAGTGGTGATGCATGGCCCAGAAGCTAAGCTCACTGGCTGGCCGGTCTCACAAGCGAGCACCTTTTTTTTCGCAAAAAAAGGTGATCGGCGATCCGGAACATCACAGCCGTTGAAATTGGATCGATACGGGACCTGAGCTGCTGAAAGGCCAAGTTTGTCACCACCTCTCTCACTACTCCTCGACATCTCTTCTTGGCACAGTTGCGCACTGCCACTGGCATTGACTGGACAATGTGGCCGATTCGAACTGTGCCGACGCTCTGATCGAGGCTTCAATGTGGACGATCCATCGATAGATTGATGGGACGACCAATAGATGGGTGCCACGGTGCAGACGATAGATCGGATGGGAGAATTATCGTCTCACAGTCTCGCACTGCCACTGACATTGACTCGACAATGAGCCCGATCCGGACGAGGGCTTGAATGTGGACGATCCATCGATAGATTGGTGGGACGACCGATAGATGGATGATTCGATCGAGATGTAAAGTGATCAATGAGACGATCGATCGATGTAGAGTGATTAATGAGACGATCGATTGATCAATGTAGAGTGATTAATGAGACGATTGATCGATCGATGTAGAGTGGTTAATGGGACGATCGATCAATCGATGTAGAGTGATTAATGAGACGATTGATCGATCGATGTAGAGTGGTTAATGGGACGATCGATCAATCGATGTAGAGTGATTAATGAGACCATTGATCGATCGATGTAGAGTGATTAATGAGACGGTCGATCGATGTAGAGTGATTAATGAGATGATCAATCGATGGATCGATGCAGAGTGATTAACGCTCTGATGAGGGGACGATCAATCGATCGATCGTTGTAGAGTGATTACCACTCTGATGAGGGCTTGAATGTGGACGATCCATCGATAGATTAATGGGATGACCAGTAGATGGGTGACACGATGGAGATGTAAAGTGATCAATGAGACGATCGATCGATGGATGTATCGATCAATAGATTAATGACCAATCTATTAATCAGTCGATCACTCATTGGTTAATGACCAATTTATTAATCAGTCTACATCGATCAATAGATGGATGACACGATCGATGTAGACTGATTAATGATATGATCGGTCGATCGATGTAGAGTGATTGATGAGATGGTCGATGGTCGATCGGTCAATAGAATGGGACGATAGATGGGACGGAATGATCGATGGATGGGACGAGATGGGATGATTGATCGGTGGGATGGGATGGGAGGGGAGGGGAAGGGACAAGACGATCGATGGATCCATGGGACGATCTATAGATGGCATGATCAATCAATTTGACTGAAAAAAGTGCCAGTCGAGTACCTGACTAACTTAGTCCTTGTATTGCTGTTACGCGCGAGTGGACTCAATATGTGTGTGTGTGCCAAATGATGCCACATGCAATGAATGCGGTCTGCAGTGTTGTTGCATGCAAACCTGCCAAACGATGCCACAGGCAATGAATGCGGTCCACAGTGTTGTTGCACACAAGCCTGCTATTTAAGAAAGAGCGAGCGAAAACACGCCACTGTGAATTTATTAGCATCTGAAGGTGACCATGATGAGAAGTGTCCACCTCTTTTGCACTTGCCGCCAAAAGGTTGTGGTTGGGCCTGCGTACTATGTACGCTACTCAGCAGCTACTTACCTGCAGCATTTGTCAGTCACCAATCGACTGACTGACTGACTGACTGACTGACTGACTGATTCACCAATAATGAAAAGCCCATCTGCGGTTTGTCTAACCTCACAAAGTTTTGGAATATTCGTTGATTAGTATCTTATGTGTAGTGAATCTAGTGGATTGAATTGGTAGTACTCTGCCACACTGTGCAGGATGCCTTTTGTAGTCTTCTGTGCGTGTGTAGGTGGGTGTTGCACTTTTTCGTTAGCTGGTTGCTCGCGGTCCAGTCTGGCTTTTCTTGTTGCACACATTGCTGTGTGAGCACTGCTGATTGCACTCTGTAGGTTTGTCCGTTGTTGTTAGCTGGTTGCTCTCGGCATTTGGCTTTCTGTTTTTTGGACTATCTTTTCTTGTTTTTCTTTTCCAAAAAGGGGGATAGGCATTTGGCTTTCTGTTTTTTGGACTATCTTTTCTTGTTTTTCTTTTCCAAAAAGGGGGATAGGCACTAACATTCTGATACTGGAGCATCCATCAGGCAGGGTTTGAATCCGTGATGGCGATGCTGTTTATGAACAGTTGGGTGTGTACCGTTCCGCCACAAGGCAGGTATGTTTCATGGGGCTTCCAGTGTGCACACTTGAGTGAGTGCGAGATTGGGCTCTCCATTCACACTTTGTTTGTTTGTTTGCCTGTTTGTTTCCTGACCTTCACTTCAGCCCTCTGCTTCTGAATCCATTCGTTTCTTTTTTTTCTCTTCAGCCTCTGTGTCTATCTAAAGTTTCTAAATCCCCTCTTTTTAACCTTTGGCCCTCTTCTTCTGAAAAATAATTCAAAAATTCCCCCCATTTTCTTCAGCCCTTTTGCTTCCAGTTCCATCCCTGCCATTCGCTTCAGCCATCTGACTCCGAAGCATTCTGCTGGCTTGTGGGGGCATCTGGAATTGACTCAGGTAGGTGGGACAGGAGGCTGCAAAAATGGCGTCCATGGTCGACTTTCGGGGTCTGGACGAGGGCCTTGGGCACAGGCAGAAGAGGAAAAGAGAGTTTGAGAAGCTGGAGGAGGACCTCCAGGCCGCGAAACGAATTGCAGTTCCCATGGATGAGGGTGCGGGTAAGGCGGAGATCGAGAAGGTTTTGTCAAGAACGGACCCGAAGACGTTAGGAGGCATGGTGTCTGGTCGAAAGTGGAAGGTGGCAGCGACTACGCGGACCTCAGCATTGGGCAGATCAAAGCCGTTGCAGACGTCGTGGGACGAGAAGATGCGCCAAAAGGATGTGAAGAAGATGTTCCAGGTATTTATGCATGCATATATTATGTGACAATATCGTTGTCTATATTGGGTCGTCGGCAGGCTCGTTCATTCTCTCCTCCTCCCAGTCCCCCCTTCCTCTCGACGTCGTGTTGATGCTAATCTGCGGGGATCCTTGTCTTACCGACAACCTGCTCTGCCACATCGGCGGCGTTCGTCTTTTACGCGCCGACCCCGCCAGATCACATCTGGCTTTCCAGTGGTGAC